TTTTTGGTTTTTTAAAAGGAACATTCCGTATACTATTTTTTATTAGATGGAGAGTTAAAAACTGAACATTTTTTGTATTTAAAGTATTTCAAAATATTTAGTGGTTTCGCAGATATACGCAGTAATATTTTATATGGCTCTTCAATGGTAAAATACAAGAGAAAAATCATTCAAAAGTCACCCACTTTGATAAAAATGTACTGTGGAAAATGCCATATGAAATATAAAACCCAGAATATCTGCGAAACCGTTAAAAATTTTGAAATACTCTAAATACAAAAAAACGTTCATTTTTTAATTCTCCATCTATTGAAAAAATAATATACAGGGTGTTCCATTTAAAAAAAAAGAAGAAAAATTATTTTATATTTTAGAAAGTTTGGCGTAGAATTTTGAACATCCTGTATGATTAACGATTACCATATTTATAGCAAAGTAAGTACATACCATTTAAAGTAAATATCTGATATAGTTTTGATTTCAGGACAGTTCTAGTATTTTTAATAATTTTCTTAAGAAAGGCTGAAAAAAATATTTTTTTTATTTATTTATTAATATCTCTAAAACTATCGAAATATATTTACTCATATCTTAGGATTATGTAAAGTGATCTGAAAGGAAGCAAAATATGCTATAATATACAGGGTGTTCCATTTTAAAAAATCATCCCGATCCACTCACACTTTTTTGAGCCACCCTATAGAAGTTAAAATATTTTCCTGAAATACATCTTAGGACATACTTTAGGTTTGCACTTAAACAGAATTCCCAAGTTTTTTTTCTAGGAGCTACAGATGCCCGACGCACTATTGCTAAACCCTGTATGTATATGTACCGTTAGAAAATATACAGCTTTAAAAGATTCAATGCTTTGGTGTGATTAAAAAACCGATACAAGGACCATATTTCTTTATTCTACATAATTAAAAATGAATCAAATCTAAAACAGTTAATGTTCAATGTTCTTTCAAATAAAATCATTTTTTTTTCTAAAAAGAACTTGTCTAAAGAAAAAGTCGATATTCTTATTGGGATATTTCTTTACGAAGTGACATTCTTAATAAAGATAACAAATATCTTCTTGATTAATCCGTCTATCAATTGGCACTCCTCATCAAAACTGATTGAGGAAAAATGACAATACGATGACTAAACGAATTTGCAAACAACCACTTCCGACAAACGTCGAGAATTGTCGACCTCTCGACATGTGGCTTTTAAACGGGTCATACGTATACGAAATCGAAATCTTCGACGATCAAGGTATCAATGGCCTACGGAAAAGAAATTACCACCGAAGAGCAGATAAAAAGAAGCGCAGCATCCAGTGAAGATGATGCCGATCGGCGATGATAACTCAGAGCAACAGAAGAAGATTAATTTCAAACGTGTTTATTCTTCGTCTTTCCTCTAACTACGTTTTCAATCTATACAGGGTTGTTCACCACGTACGACACGGAGTATTGTAGCTAAAGGATGAGATTTTTACAAATTGTAAGTTTTGGGTTCGATGAAGGACTATTAGAGGTACAATTTAAAAATAATTTTACAAGATACAGAGTGTCCCAAATAAGTAAAAAATATCAAAGTTGTATTTTTTTTAAATGGAACACCCTGTATATTATTTCATTTTTAGTTTCTACGATTAAAATAAAGGTAAATTTGATTAAGGTTTATTATACTTAAACCTTACCGTTTTTGAAATATTTTCAATTTTGTGAAATTGCAGTAAAAATTTTAAGGCTTCATTTCTCCAAGGGTATCAAAGTTTTTAATACTAAATATTTACTGAAGTTTATTTATTGATCAGTTATTTTGTTGCAATTATAAAAATAATACTACGTTATACAGAGCGCCTAAAAATTTATTTTAAATAATTATTAGCTTCAAACGGCAATAACTTGTTTAATTTAAACGGAACACCTTGTATATTTTAAGAGAATCAGATGCACAATTTAATTGTCTATCAAATTATATTATACCATTTTTTACCTCTCTTTAAGTTTCCGTAGAAAATGCATTTTCTTGTAATTTAGAACATATTTATCAATATACCCATGGAATATTGACATTTTAGATTATTTTTAAAGATGTACCAAATTTTTAAAGAGTACAGATACTAATATTGTCGATATAATTTGTTTTTTTTATTAAAAAATAAAAAAACTGTTTAAATATTTGTTAAAGGGGACCAATTAATATGATTCCAGTATTCAAAATACATTAACTGACTGTTTGCGTTGATTAATAATAATTACTCCAAATACTAAAAAACTGAATTTTGTATGGCTATTAGACAGTGTGATAAAAAGAAACACCTTAAAAATGATATTTCATTTTTTAATAAATACTTATTTATAACAACAGAGACTTTAATTTTGATAACTTATTATTATATTGATTTCTTACTCAAATCCACATTTATTTAGAATAATTTATTAACGAACACAATTAAGTATGTAATTAATTAGGATATGGGCGGAAATAATGGTGTTATATTTAATTAATGGTATACTCTTTTATAAAGATTTAAATAGTTTTCTTTTTGCATACAAATGAGCTAGTAATATTATCGTTTTGCTAAAAACGATAATATTACTAGCCTGTACATTTTGTACATTTGTTGCTTTAAAAACAATCTAAAATGTCAATATTCCATGGGTATATTGATAAATAGGGTCTAAATTATAAGAAAATGCATTTTCTACGAAAACTTGAAGGGATAGGTAAAAATGGTATAATATAATTTGATAGACAATTAAATTGTGCATCTGATTCTCCTAAAATATACAGAGCGTCCCATTTAAATTAAAGAAGTTATTGGCGTTTAAAGCAAGAAATTATTTAAAATAAATTTTTAGACACTCTGTATAAGGTAGTATTATTTTTATTATTGCAACACAATAACTAATCAGTAAATAAACTTCAGTAAATATTTAGTATTAAAAACTTTGATACCCTTGGAGAAATGAAGCCTTAAAATTTTTACTGCAATTTCACAAAATTGAAAATATTTCAAAAACGGTAAGGTTTAAGTATAATAAACCTTAATCAAATTTACCTTTATTTTAATCGTAGAAACTAAAAATGAAATAATATACAGGGTGTTCCATTTAAAAAAATACAACTTTGATATTTTTTACTTATTTGGGACACTCTGTATCTTGTAAAATTATTTTTAAATTGTACCTCTAATAGTCCTTCATCGAACCCAAAACTTGAAATTTGTAAAAATATAATCGTTCAGCTACAATACTCCGTGTCGTATGTGGTGAACAACCCTGTATACTACCTTATTCGCATCAGCTTCACAAGAAGTCACGCGATGTGGCGTCATTTTTTACTAAATATATCTAGAGATATGCAATTTTACTACAAGATTTGTATTTCTGATTTAAATTTAATTTAAAAGCTTACAGAACTCATTGACATTTTCAGAAAAATGCTGTAGTGTAGCAACCCAGGGTCGTCAACAAAGTTGAAGAAGTAATATTTTGGACAACTGTATAACAAACAATTTAAGTGAATTAAAGGAACCTACGTTGTGATAAAAATATTTTTTATTGTGATTACCTCGGATGCACTCGACAGAAGCAATATTTTTGGATAGGTTATGTAAATCAAACGCTAAATGTGTAAATAGCCGTACTTATTTTATTAAATGAAATGAAAGGAGTGCTGTACTCTGCATAGAATACAGAAGTAAAAGAGCATGGCAGAGAAAACCCTGATCGCTATTCCAGAGGATCCAACTATGCTGTTCTGAACTTTAATTAAAGAGAAATAATAATAATACAAATACTGTCTTTTTACCAAGATTTGAGGTTTACTACATTCACAACTGAAGAGGTTTTGTTAGTTAGCAGGTTAACACCTGCAAGTATTGAGATCCCTGGGATTCGGGAAGCTACTTAGCTAGAGTTGATATGGTTGGTGCCAATATCTTTAGACTATGAGTTATACTACACCATTTATTGGTTTTGACTGCTCATTTGTGTGCTAAGATATTCGTCCAGGCACGGTTGGAAATTATTAGTACACGCAACAAGGCCCTTATTGTCACATTATTATTCTGTCAAAAAGTCATACTGTTGTCATAAGTTGTGTCTCAAAAAGTTATACTGAACCACGATTTCATTTAGATTTAATTTTGAACTAGAAATTATTCACAGCATAAATTGAATCCATTAAATACATACACGTTATATTTTATCTTTGTCAGGTCAAAGAAATAAGGAAAAGCTTGAGCACAGAATATTACAACAAAAAAAAATACATGCTTTAGATAACATTAGTTAAATAATGAGGAAACATTTACTTTACCTTTAATAAACTTCTTTCTTACAATAACCAAAATTTACAAACCAAAAATAACACCAACGCGTCTCGAATCTTAATCGAAAAGCTATTATTTAACACCTATCATCTCTATTCGTTGTCTGATTTCCCTCTCCTGAGTTTACAAATAATATTTTAAAAATCAATAATTTTATATACAGGGTGACAATTTGATACACATCTCAAAAAAATAATGCAGTTTATGTAGAATTGTATAAGAAATACAAAAATAGTAAAAGAAATAGGGGTTGCTATTTTAAATTTTAGGGGTAGGTGCCCTGGGGGTCAAGGGGTTGAAAGTAACACGACAACAAATGCCTCAAAAATTGTCCCCCTTGATATGTAAATTGACGTGTTTCGCCAAATATTCATACTATCATCAGTAGAGGCAATAATAAATACTGTTCGTTTTCAAATTGTCACCCTGTATGTATACAGTGTCTTAAAAATGAATGTTTTGAATTTAAATATGTTTATTTTTAAATAGGAGGTTAATCTCACTGTAATATTTTTTAAGTAAAATTCATTATAATTTTTTCAGTGTGCTACACTGCACGATTTCTTTTCACTCTGAACCACGACGATGATGATAATGGAAGAGAGTGAAATCGGAATTCGCGCTGCCTGCCAAAGACCAAAGACAATGACTGTTTGGGGTTTAGTTGAGTTTGGCGCGTTCGGCAGATTCGGCAAGACAGAGCCCCAATAAGCTGGCTCTACCGTGTAGACTTGCGACTCAAAATAGTGTAGTGCTTTATTATTTTTTTGGTTTTTGGTTTAGTACAAGGACTTCAACAAGATGCGTTGGGTAAATATTTTAATTCACAATCATTCAATAATGAGAATTTTATTCAGTCATATAAAACGTTTAAAGTGATACTTATTCTACACTTTTTCGTAATATTGTGCTCTACAGTATGTCCCCGGATTGTCTTAACAAGAGGAAAATCTTTTTTATTATTGACAGTCTGAGAAAAATGCCTTATTCATAAAAATGACTGTTGGCATCTCCTGAAAACTAGTGTTTTTTATGAATATCCAGTTACAATTTCATTTAAAAGTTTCAATGATATTTGTAGACATTACGAAATTATTAGAGCATCTACTATTTATTTTTTCTATGAGGTTTTTTCGTAAAAAAATATGTTGAAAACTAGGGTTGAAAATCGTGCATTTTCTTTTAAATTTTCCTGTATATTTTAGAAAACTTTTTAGAACTGCCTGTTCACTCCATATGTTCCCACGTATAATTTCTTAATCTCTGATATTACCATGGTTACGGCACTAAAAAGGATACAAAAAAAATCCGGTGGCTCTCAAATTTTTTTAAAAATAAATCATTTTTTTTTTAATTTTGAAACTTGAATAACTCAGTTATTTTGGACTTATTTGAAAAATGGTAAAGGGAAAATATGTTTCTTTTATCGAGATCTACCAGCCCTGAAAATATTTGTACTTATTTTTAAGATTCACCCTGTGTGGGCCTGGTGTTCGTGGTGTTCCTAATTTACAATTATGGTACAAATTAAATAAAAAAACCTTATGCATCAAAGATTTCAGAATTTTCATAAGAAATTTATAAAATAACATATAAATTTAATTTTCAAATATATAATTTTACATTAGAAATACATGATTCAAGTGATCATTATTGTAATGCTAAATATTGAAATATATGTTTATTTAAGTGTTTAATTTTAATACTAACTAAAAGATATTTTGAGAAAGCTAATTTACATATTTATCATTAATCTACAAACATGTCTGTGTAAGCAGATAGAAGATAACTAATTAATATTAATGGTATGCTAATTTTTGGCGTTCGGTGCTTCTTTTAAGAAACGTTTAATCCTATTAATAATCCTTTTAGCCTATTTTTAACAAATTTTATGTATATTTAAGTCCTTATTTTTTAGATTTTAATAATTGATAATAGGAGTAATTGAAAAAAAACAGTTATTATATATATTTTTTCCATGGCAACTTTTAAAATTGTCTTATATCTATCAAAAATAGTAGATAAAATAGTACTTCAACCGCAAGGGTAGATTAAATGATACTTTAACAGCGAGGATAGGTTAAAAACTTTATTTCTTCTCGCATCCATTTTTGCAAATTTTTGGAATTTTTAAATGGAAGTAGTTTGGATATGGCGTTTGTCGCGTCAGCCTGAATATCTGTTGGGAATTTACTTATTTCGTTTTGAGCCATTTCTGGCTCCAATTCAATCAGCAATCGACACGAAAGAGAATTAAAAAATATTGACTCAAAACTGACAACTGAAGAGACAGCTTTATTAATTTGTCAAATTACATAGAAACCAACGCCAACCCAGCACAATATTTTTTCTACTCGTAATAAATTATTTATTTTTAATTATTTATTTATATAACAAAAAAAAAGATTACTCAGAGAGAAAAATGAAAGAAAATTAGTTCTAATGATAAAAGACAGAGTTGACACTTCTGATATTATGTTTTTAAGTGATTCTAGTGACACCTTCAGCCCACTTTAACGGTACTAAGTACTTCTCTATAATACTAAGTACACATCGCTTTCACATTTAAAGCAAATATTTGTTCGTGCGACAAAATAGATTTTATCACTTCGCAGAAGATTCGTGAGTTTTCAAACCGTATATATTATTAGGAAAGAAAAGAAAATGGCATGGCCGGAGAAAAATCTATTAGAGTATATAATTAAAAAACTAGAATTTATGTCATAACCTTTGCACCTATAAAAATATAACTTTCTATTCATTTGTTCTGAGCGATGTATTGATGCGACTATTAAAGGTTAGATGTGTAATAATTGGCTGTTTATTAGGTCCTAAAATCTCTTTTGTAACTAGAGCTAACAAAATTACTAGATAAAATCAGTTTATAACAAAAAATCTATAAAAAATTGGTCAAGTACGAGTCGGACTCGCCCACGAAGGGTTCCATACCATTCATTATCTATACAACATTAGACACTATATTATTATAAACTTCTTTCCGATTTAGCTGAAATTTTGAATGCGCGTATAAGTAATTAAAAAAAAAATGAAGAAACACATTACTAAAAATTGTATTAATCAATAATAAATATGTAAAAAGTAAAAATAAATATGTAAAAATTAAAAAAAAAACGATTAAAAAAAAGTCGCCTTGACTAGGATTCGAACCTGCCTTACTACGGCTCCAACGTCATAGCAGCGTAAAGTCCTAACGTTTTAACCATGCGGCCACCGAGAACTTGAAAGATTCTATGTAAAATTCTTACTTAAAAGATAATGTTTAGTGAAAGTACTTTTTTATTTATAAACATTTATTTAATTCTGTTTTTAGTATTTGTTCTTACAACGGCAACATAGATACATTATCTGTAAAAATTTCAACTGTCTAGCTATAACGGTTCATAAGATAGCCTTTTTTGACAGACGGACGGACAGCGAAGTCTTAGTAATAGGGTTCCCGTTTTTACCCTTTGGGTACGGAACCCTAAAAACTAAGAAAATGGAGATATGCTCTGTTCTGTTAAACCCATAACCAAGGTAAAAAATGGAAAATACAGCACATAAAATTAATAATAATATTGACATTAAGTGATACAAAATATTAACGTAGACCTCATTGCAATTTGTCTGACTGTCGGTATCATAGGTGTTTTGCCATTCGTCAAAAAACCGTTTTGGTTATACAACAATCGTACTTCTTATTCTATGTTGACTTTTAAATATTGAACAATAGGATTACGACAGGTATCAATGTACACTAATGAATTAGAACGTTTTAGATTACATCTCTGTATAAGATTAATGGATTGCAATCACATCATTCGACTCCTTTTTTATAAAAGCTATTGTCTGATCGAGTGGTATCAGATCCACTGTCAATCAAAACATCTAAATTGTGTTTGATTTTACTATAGACTTGGTGCATTCTCCGCCGGTTCTGCCCCCATCGAAGATTATCGTAAACAACTGAAACAGATTAGACACAAACGGTACATTGTGAGACAAGAAATTGTAGAGAGAAACAAGCCCTATAACATAGGATTCAACATTTTAATGAACAGTGCTTTCCATCTAATCAATAAAATGAAAAATATACGAAATAATATACATGTTCTGATTTCTTTCGAAAATCGACATCTATGAAACTATGAACCCTTCCTGGACACAAACGGTACATTGTGAGACAGGAAATTGTAGAGAGAAACAAGCCCTATAACATAGGATTCAACATTTTAATGAACAGTGCTTTCCATCTAATCAATAAAATGAAAAATATACGAAATAATATACATGTTCTGATTTCTTTCGAAAATCGACATCTATGAAACTATGAACCCTTCCTGGACACAAACGGTACATTGTGAGACAGGAAATTGTAGAAGAAACAAGCCCTATAACATAGGATACAACATTTTAATGAACAGTGCTTTCCATAAAATCAATAAAATGAAAAATATACGAAATAAAATAAATGTACTGATTTCTTTCGAAAATCGACAACTATGAAAATATGAACCCTTCCTGGACACAACCGGTACATTGTGAGACAGGAAATTGTAGAGAGAAACAAGCCCTATAACATAGGATTCAACATTTTAATGAACAGTGCTTTCCATCTAATCAATAAAATGAAAAATATACGAAATAATATACATGTTCTGATTTCTTTCGAAAATCGACATCTATGAAACTATGAACCCTTCCTGGACACAAACGGTACATTGTGAGACAGGAAATTGTAGAGAGAAACAAGCCCTATAACATAGGATACAACATTTTAATGAACAGTGCTTTCCATAAAATCAATAAAATGAAAAATATACGAAATAAAATAAATGTACTGATTTCTTTCGAAAATCGACAACTATGAAAATATGAACCCTTCCTGGACACAACCGGTACATTGTGAGACAGGAAATTGTAGAGAAAAACAAGCCCTATAACATAGGATACAACATTTTAATGAACAGTGCTTTCCATAAAATCAATAAAATGAAAAATATACGAAATAATATACTTGTTCTGATTTCTTTCGAAAATCGACATTTATGAAACTATGAACCCTTCCTGGACACAAACGGTACATTGTGAGACAGGAAATTGTAGAGAGAAACAAGCCCTATAACATAGAATACAACATTTTAATGAACAGTGCTTTCCATAAAATCAATAAAATGAAAAATATACGAAATAATATACTTGTTCTGATTTCTTTCGAAAATCGACATTTATGAAACTATGAACCCTTCCTGGACACAAACGGTACATTGTGAGACAGGAAATTGTAGAGAGAAACAAGCCCTATAACATAGAATACAACATTTTAATGAACAGTGCTTTCCATAAAATCAATAAAATGAAAAATATACGAAATAATATACATGTTCTGATTTCTTTCGAAAATCGACATTTATGAAACTATGAAACCTTCCTGGACACAAACGGTACATTGTGAGACAGGAAATCTGTTTCAAAACAGGCACGTACAAATACACGGGTTTAAATAGCGAATATACGAAAAAAGTTTATACATATAATTATTCCAAAAATCTTAGGAAGAATAATTTGTGAAAAATATAAAAGTAAGTATTTTGATATCTTCAGAAGGTCTAACTTGTATTATAATTTTTTATTGAAGCTAATACAACTTTTTAGATGATTTCGACTACCGTAACGAGCATAGTTTTGCTAGTGGAGACATAACTTCGGCTATCTCGGCATAAATAAAACTAAAAAGACATAAAATAAAAAAAATTCCATTGCAACTGTTAAAATTGCCTTATATCTATCAAAAATAGTAGATAAAATAT